AATAATTTCTCTTCTATTCAACACCAAAAGTTGGAAAAAGCATTGGATATGCTTTCTATTAAGCACTTTATAGAGAGAAAGCGAGCAGAAGTTTAGCCTCAGCTCCATCGGCATGACCAAATTTTCATCTAAATCTTTCCAATTTCAGAAGGAAGTACATCATTCTTACAAGCATTGCCTGCCAATATTACCCTACTGCTCAACATAAACCATGAAATAGCAGGGCACCATGGTAAGACTAACACTAACAAATTATTACTGGAATCACACAGAACACTATAAAAAGCTGATTTTTAAGCGAAAAGAAGAGGACGCAGAAATTACCTTGGCCCTCTTTCCAATGCTACGAGTCATGGGCTTGGGAATGCTCAGGTCGATGAGTATATTCATAATCGAGATGAACAAAAGCTCTTTCCACGTCGGGCAAAAGCTCCAGCTTCTCCTGCAAAGCTTCTCCGATATCGTGCGCTTCTCTGAGCTGCATATCCGATGGCAGGACGATATCCACCTCAACAAAGTAGCGAGAACCGAAGGTGTACGCGCGTACTGTATCGATGTGCCTTATGGCCTTGTGGTGGTTCCAGCAAAGGTAAGTGAGCTTTTGGAGAAACTCGGGCGCCGCGGTTTTCCCTACCAGGGAGTTCACGTTTTCTAGAACTGTCATCAACCAGGTTCTGATGGTGTAGATTGCCAACTGTGGAAAGAAGCAATAGATAGGTAATAACCGTTAGCTCCGATTCACAAATATGCAGCCACAAAAACTCAAAAAATTATTATGTGCGGAGTCCAGACTCCAATGAAAATGCGCCACATCGGATAAGCTTAGTACCGAGCGATACCGAGGCGCTCGATATCTAAGCATAAACCGAAACCGAATGGTTCTCCTGTCCGGTGTCCGCACATAATAATCTCTCCAAAAACTCTAGCATGTCTAGAGAAACAAACATATTTTCTCTCTCTAATGTTTGGTTTATAAACATAAGAAGTGATTTTGTTATTTGAAATATTTTCAATTTAAACAACATGTGTTAGGTTGGTGCAGGTCTATAGGAGGCGGACATGTACCGCCTCCTTTAGGTCTTGCCGCCCACTAGTGGGCCTCACTAGGAGCAATTTGATGAGAGAGGATTGGGCAGCTAGGATGAGAAGGAAAATTTGAATTAGGGATGTTTGAATTAGGAAATTAATGTGTATGACTTGTTGAGGGTTAGAGTTATGCATGCTTTGATTGATTTTTCTCTTGGAGTTCCTTAGCGTCTTGGCTCTAGATTCCTTTGTCTAGAGATTGAGAGAGAACGATCCTCCTCTCGAATTGAGGATCACTTGTATCTTGCTTTCGTGTTTGTTTAGCTTTTATTTCCTTGTCGCAATACAAGGTTTTGTGGCTGATTTTTGCCCAGATTTTATGTTACTGATAGATTTGCTTGCGAACTCAAGTATTTCCCTTAGGATTACTTGCGAACTCGAGTATTTCCTATCATTATGCTATAGTAATATTTGTGTCCAGTATCTTTAAAAAAATGTGTAACCCATGTCTATGGACTGCAAAAAATTTGAGGGTGTGCCGACTAGTTTTAATGTGTATATTTGTAGAGGTAAGGGTTAGAAAAATAACAAAGTCTAACAACTTACTAAGATGGCTCCGACAGGGTCAATCCAACCCGTTATGTAATTGGCAAGAAGAGCAGCGACAAGGCCAATCATGTTAGTGATAACGTCAAAAAAATGGTCCTGTGCATAAGCCTTCACAATCTCATTTGTGAATGATCGACAATAAATAACAAGACAAAGCTTTACAACTGTCACGGATAGCATGATATCTGCAACCCATCTCTCTTGCTCCTTGGTCAAGCTAAATCCACTTTCCTGCATAAATTCGTGTCAATATCTTGAAGTGGAGGACTGGGATTTTTAAGAACTGAAGTTCGCTAGAAATTAAAAAACTAAAATTCTTAAGAATCCAATTTTCGCCGCCAGATCTCATGAGTAAATATTTTGCTTAAAAGTGAATAATCCTTTGATATAACTTCTTTTGCCGCATAGAGATACTGATACTACATCAGTTATGAAGCTTAAAAAAAAATTACTCACATTAGATATCAATGAGCGTACAGATTCCATAATTATTTGGAGACCAAGAGTTGCCATGACAGATGCAAACACAAGGATTCCCTGCAGTCAGGTAATTAAACAAAAACTCATGAAGAATTAGCACTAAAGTCACTAAAAGTCGAGATATTTTGCAGCATAATTGACAGGAAAATCTGATTGATAGTAAAAGGAAAAGGTTGTTGCGCATCATGTTTAACAAACAAAAAAATAACAGTATGTAAACATAAAAACCCCTGCAGAGCGTAATGGATGAATTTGTAAACCAAATACTTATCGTTGGCGGCATCGTGAGCGGCACAATCAACAAATGTGTAGGATCTTCTTTGAGAGAGGAAGAAGCTCTTCCTTTTGAGTTTCTTGGGAGGGGGAGAGAAGGGGAGGGAGCTAAAAAACATAACAATCTTTATTGCTTTGCCATACTTCTATTATAGTCTATTGTTCTTATTAATAGACAACAATGACTATAACAATGGCAATACAAGGCATAAAAGAAAACTAAAGAAAATACAAATGTAGAAAGTAACTAAAATCTGGACAAATTCATAATAATCTTCACCAGGGTCCACATTTTACAATATTGAGAAAACATCAGTTGTTCAAGAGAACCTTGCCGATTTTCCTCGCCAATTGCCACCATCTGAAGCTCGAACTCATCTTCGCTGCTCCGATCCTCACAAAATTGTGTTAAGAAATGAACCGCCTCCACGACCTTGGTATGATCGCATACCCACGGCCCGATTCCACTGCTTTGGCCATTGCTCATGAGCCAATAAATCCAAGCTCGATCCGCCTGTGCACTCCCACACGATATCAACCTGTCTCCCGCTTCACGCGTGAACTGCTCTAGCTAAGCCCTATCGTGAACAAAGTGTCCCGGCCTCAGGCACCCATGCACTGTGCTCTGACGCGTCCTACTCATCTAACTCGGCGACCTGACACTCTGCCATGTTTTGCAATCTCGTGCGCCCTACTCCCTCCCCCCGGGTCGCGCCTCCCTGTGCCCCGCACAGTCTTCTTCCCTCTCGAACCCTGAGCCTTGCGCCTGGTGCCCGCACCCTACCCGCATCTGCAACCAACCTGCGGCTTTCTCTACCACACTGCGTCCCACGCAGCCAACCCTACGCACTGCACTGCACATCCCTGCGCCCTGTTTGTGGGCTCCGCCCGCTTAGCCCGTGCCCACGCCCATCACCCCATGTGGCCTCCCGAGCCCGTGCAAATGGACGAACGGCTGGCCATCGTGCCTCGCGATCCTGAACGAACGGCCAAGCCATATGCCTGTCGAGCCATCCTGCTTCGTCTCCTTCCTTCTGAATCAATTTCTTTGAACAAAAAAACTTTATACACCTCCACCTTACTCTGATACCACTTGTAGGATCTTTTTTTAGAGAGGAATAAGCTCTTCCTTTTGAGCTTCTTGGGAGGGAGAGATAAGGGGAGAGTGAGAAAGATAAAAAAACAGAACAATTGCTTGGCCATACTTCTATTACAGCCTATTATTCTTATTTATAGACAATAATGGCTATACTAATAGCAATACAAGCCATACAAGAAAACTAAAGAAAGTACAATTGGAGAAACTAACTAAAATCTGGACCAATTCATAACAATTGTTGGTTAAAATTTTAGTTAGAGTTCTTTGTACTTTCTTGAGTTAGGCTCTTGAGTAGCCTCTTATGCTACCAATAGTATCTTGTGTGACTATTGTGCTGCCATTAGAAGTCTATAAATAGACACTATAGTTTGTAATAAAGATGCAAGTCATCAAGCAATAAATCTATTCTGCTTTCAGTTCTCTTCCCCTCTCCCCTCCTCTCTCCTCTCCCAAGAAGCTCAAAAGGAAGAGCTTCTTCCTCATCCTAGATCCTACAAATGGTACCAGAGCAAGATAGAGGTGGAGGAATTTTTCTTGTCTGCAAAATAAACTCAGAAGAGGTGGTAGGGAGTTCTCAAGAGGAGACCAACGAGGGTCGGGTTGTGCTTTGCAAGTCTAGGCATGAGAGTGAACGCGCAGGGGGAGGTGCAATAGGTAGACGAGATCACACACGGTTGAGATGCGCGTGTAGGTATCCTCGCGGGATGATGGGCTGACAGCCGCAAGCAAGGCATGCAAGTGGACAGGCTTGATCGCGGATCAGCCGCAAAACCATAACGGAAGATCTGGTCAGCAGGGGTTGTGTTTGTGCACGGAGGAGGTCGCGTAGACGGGCTCACACTGATGGATTTGACAGATGCATGCGAACGCGCGTAGCGGGGGGCTGCACGAAGCATGAGTCTCGAAATGCACGAGCAGCTGAGGCTAGGCGCAAGGGAGCAGTGGTCGTGGGAGCTAAGCCCATGGAGCACGCGTGGCATGGGGGGTTACGCGAAGCATGGGGTTAGCTGAGTGGGATGCAGTGGTGCAGGGGAAGCCATGGGCTAATAGGAGGCTCGAGGAACAAGCACATATGAGCGCAGGGAGCGGAGTGCACGTGAGCGCTGGCGGAGTCGGGTCAGTGCACGTGATTTCGGGTTGTAATCAGAAACAAGTAGAGGAGAACCTGTTATCATTGGCCTGTGCTTGTGAACAACAAATATTTTTTTCAATATTGTAAAGTCTAAATCAATGTGGAGATTGTTATGTATTGATCCATATTTTAGTTAAAGTTCTTTGTACTTTCTTGAGTTAGGTTCTTGAGTACCCTCTTCTGCTACCATTAGTATCTTGTTTAGGTTATTGTGTGACTATTGTGCTGTCATTAGAAGTCTATAAATAGACATTATAATTTGTAATAAAGATGCAAGCCATTAAGCAATAAATATGTTATGTTTTCAGCTCTCTCTCTCTCTCCCCCTCTCTCAAGAAGCACAAAAGGAAGAGCTTCTTCCTCGTCCTAGACACTACACAATATAGTATGCTCTTAAATACACAATATAGTAAACTCCAAACACAAGTAGCACACCTTCCAAACAAAGTCAAATGACTTGAAGTTCAAATATTTTTCATAGAATCAAAGGTTTGCTAAAGAAGAACAATTGACAAAGACCATTGATGTTGTTTTGCGATAGTTGGTGAACCTGATTTAATATGTTAAATAGACCCTCAAAAAATTTAACATCCTATATTTTCTCTCTTTATAAATGAGTGGATGAAGGAAAATGACCTTCTCAAGGATTTCATCTAGAATGGCATAATGAAAAAAAAAAAAAACTTTAGCGATGATTGCCAATAATGTCTGACTCAAATACAATGCAATCTGCAGGATGTTAAAAAAATGGTCTGGAACTCTATAAATAAGAAACAACCAAACATGCAGCTTGATTGATGAGTGGCAATCAAAAGTTCAATTCAACAACAATGCAATCTATTGAATTACTAAATTGATATGGCACATTTATAAGATAAGAAATCAAATTTAATCCTTGAGCCATGAGTAGCAAACAATTCGATCATAGTAATATTAGCTGGGTTTAAAAAACGACGTAATATGTATAAACAAGTGAAAAATCAAACTCCTTGAAGGTTGCTAATAATCATCAAACAAACCTACCAATAATATAAATACCCCACGCAACTCATTATATAGCCAATTATTAACCCCATGTAGAAGAGAAAAAAAATTTCCACAAGGGTTGCAAGGAAATTTGTAAAATCTTTCATTAAGAGACAACTACAACAATAGTATTTGTAAATATACCATGTTGAATAAGGAGATCGAGAATCCATCTAATACACTTGTATATACGGATATTTCCAGTTGAAAGTAGATAAATTCAAGCCTTGAAAGACCTATTGAGGAACACCCGTGGCACAGTTTCACAACCAAAAAATGAGAAACTCTAATACATAATTCAAAGAATAAAAGAGGATTAGTATCATTGTCTTATGAATATTTGCAAACAGGACCAGAACCTGTGTTCTAAAAGTAGGAGGAGCTTAAAATTACCTTTGAAAAACTCAAATGAATTGCTGATTTCAGTTCTAAAGCATACGGTTACGGGCAACCAAACTAAATATCTATTTAGAACAAATTATTGAGGTAGTGCAATGCATGCTTATTCTTAGAGGAGATCATTCATTCCATCAACAGCCAAGCATAATGTTTTTTGTAAAACTTCATATGTTGTACATATAAGTCAATCTTACAAGCACAAAAATAAAGCTTTAAATCCATGTGAAATAGTTATTTGAATTTGGAAAGTTATGGGTGATTTTGGAATGGCTTAATTTACAATTTTTTTAAATGGTTGAAAAATGAATGCCAAATGACTAGAGAAATAGTATTTTGGAATCAAAATATCATAATAAAGGTTATGTCTAGGATTATGGTAATTATAAAAGAGTCAAGCTAATGAATCATAAAATAAAAATATGGAGAGATTAATGGAACACGAGCTTAAAAAAATTATGACGGTTTTGACGATTAGATTGATTTTATGACAAAAAATCAACCATGGAAGTGATTTTTATGTTTAGACAATCAATGAAAAACGAAGATGAACAAAGGAAAGATTAACACATGATTTTTAATAATAATCTTGGGCAAGCATATGAAAAAACAGACTAAAATTGATTTGATGCATATTACTAAAAAAACTGAAAAAGAATGTTGTCTAAAAATCAAAGCTTGTTGAAAAATTAGTAAAAACACCATAATAATAAATACTTACTAATGGCTGCATGCGCCTTTTCCCAATTGGATACTTGTAAGGATTTGGCGTCTGCATAGAGAATGCGGTAAACCATAGGATAAAACCTGATAGCAGATCAAGAAGAGAATCTAGAGTAGATGCTATGATCGCCAAGGAACCACTTCTAACTGATGCATAAACTTTAGCAATAAAGAGAACCATATTTGCTGCATTTGATATCCGGATTGCTAGGGTTTCACTCCTAGCAATATTTTCACGTTCCTCCTGTGTAATCAATTCACATAAATCCAACACAAACTATGAACTCCGAAAAAGATAATCAAAAGAAATGCAACTGACCTTTGACAATTGGGGTAGGAAACCACGATCAGTCAACGTATCCATTTCGCCAAACCCATCCAACATCTCAACCTGCTGCTGATAGTACTCAGCTACAACATCTTCTTTGACTGAATCAAAAAAGGGAAAACTTCTCAAATTAAAAATTCAAATTATGCAATCCATACCACGCGGTCATAACCTGACCCAATAAATGAAAAGATGACAGATCATAACATCATATCTGAAAAAAAAAATTATTTCAGGTGGCTCATAAACAAAACCCACAGACGCAGAAGGCTTGCCAATTTCCAAATATAGCCAGCCTCATCTCCAACTAACTTTAAGGCATCCAGGATAGGCAAGAAATAACAGAATCATACTTTAAATCCCAATATTCCGCCTAGAATTAGAATCTCTTCACTAATCTAAAAGCCTTCTCTCAATTCCCTTTCCCTTGTACCTATTTAACCGTGCCAAGTTCCTTAAAAAGATCATTTAATAACATGAATAAGCTATCACTTGGCATCTTCTACATCCAAGTATCAAAGAGATGCAACACTAAGCTCGCACGATCTATAATGAAACTTGAAAATGAAAATCACAGAGACCAGCAAAACAAATAAAACTCCAAGGAGAAAGAAAATCAAGCATGTGACACACAGAAGACAGACAATAGGCGAACCTAAGGTACCCAGGCAGCGATGAAGCAAACGGGGGGGCTTCTCCTCCAAAAGCTCCGCTCGGCGGAAGCCGTCGAAGTTGAGCCGCCAGGAGCGCTCGCGCTCGCCGCTCTCCGCCAACAGTAGCTTCGACCCGTCGCCATCCCCGCTGGATCCCGCCGCCATTTTCTCCGGCCTTTGCCTCTCAAACCAACCCTAGATAAAGATATAGAGACTGCAAATGAAACAGCAAAATAAAATTCATGAATCTATCACTCCTTTCTTCTGCGTTTCTCTCTCAAATACACGTGGCGAAACGTGATTGGGAGGAAAGAGAGTGACCGACGAGCAAAGGACTACCGTGTATGCTTTTCAGAGCTCTACATTCCACGGAGTGGGGAAGTAGTGGAGACAAACGTTCATATTTGAGATTTCAGCATAATCGGACGGTTGATTAAAGGATGGGAACCCGTTCTCCACCGTCAGATTGCTCACAAGTCCGGTAAAGGAAACCGGATAGTTAAGTTAGGTCGGCGAGATATATGCTATATGAGCAGCTTATCTTATTGATTAATCACGTGACAAAATATAAAATTATGAATTAAATAAATAAATACAGCATAAGTTAAAATATAGTCGTATACGATCAATTGATCAAAGACTTTTAATATAATAAACGTTTAGTTTATTCAAACGAAATTTTTTATTATTTAATAAAAGCTATGGAAAATGAAGACAGTGTAATTCAGCCAAAATCATTCAATAATTGAAGGACTTTTTTTTTTTACCTTAATGGGCACATCCAAAAAAAATACTAAGATATATTTATTATATCAAACTCCATCTTTTTTGGGGTGATCTTAAACTCTAAAATATAGTAAAATTTTAAAATGATATAATTCATCTCCAATTGGACTTCATTTATCTCCTCTTTCGCCCACTTCGTGTGAAGGTAATTATCTCTCTCCTCTTTCGCACGCTTTTCTCCTCTTTTCCGCTCTTCTTTTGTAAATTCGCAAGCAAAGATTTTTTGTCGTAGGTGAATAGTCCGACATCAATATTAATGTCACATTGTTCATCTACCGAATTTGATCGTGAGATTTGAAGTTCAAATGCATCAAATGACGGACTGCATACAATGGTATACAATTCAGTTATTCTTATGCCATTTTTTGTAAAAAAATTTAATAATACTATTATGTTTCATTTTTAAGACATGAAACATTTATAATGTAAAATTAAGACTAATATTTGTTCCTTTCATGAAACTTGGTAAGTAGGTTTTATAATGAAACATGTGTCCTAGGTGTCATTATATATAGAGCCACATTGTTATCTTATTTGAGTCTCGATCATTACAAACAATGCATGCGTTATAACTTTGCTCTCACTATAGAGATCTCTCAACGAACATATACTACAACCTTATGACACAATCTTCTTCGACACTACATATGTCAGAACTTCTCTTATCTTTAGACATCTCTAATAAGATATATGTGTACACCCTACTTATGTCTTGATCATTTGTGATAAAACTTGTGCTATAATCTCTCACACTTACATTACAATCATCTCCCTCTAACCTTGCTTGCAGCATCAACTCGAGCAAAACTTGTGTTGCAACATCGCTTATATTGTAGTCATTATCACACCTAGAACTTAATTGTAATATCTCTATTGTCGCAGTAATCGCCAATAAGATGTGTCACAAATTCACAGGCTTCACAACCTTCTTCAACAAGATATGTATTTCAACTTTACTTTTTTGCACAATCATCTCCCTCAAGATGCGTAGCCATCTCATACATGACATGAACTACATACATCACAAACAATAATTACAATACACCTATTTTTTGATGCAGCAACTTGAGTCGCAATTTATTTTTATAATATGTATAGCCAAAACTCGGATTTTGATAGGTCAAGTGGTATTTGGTATGAAAGTTCCTCCAATTACATAAAGATGAATCTATTTTATATCAATCTGCAGTAAATAGCTGAAGATATTTGACAAAGAAAGACCGCATAAACCCCATCCCCTTTAATGCATTATTTCTCGTTTTCCATTAAAATGCTACACATGAAATGATTAAATTCAATTTGAAATTTGAATGAAGTTTGATCGATTTACCACCCCAATCCAACCAAATATAGACCAAGGTTGATGGTTGACCTACTTTTCATTATTGTATGTGTGTTATGTTAATTTTATTTAGGCAACCTAACCAAAGCGGACATATTTCAATAAACATTATTGCATGATTTGAAAAAAAAAACATTATTGCATGATTTAAAAAAAAAAATTATTGCATGATTTATAAAGATATTTTGTGTAATAATTAGAAGATGGTAGTATAATTTTTATCGATCTATACATATGATGACCTACTCAATGTTAATGTTTAGGCCAAATATTGATGCTAATGTTACATTTTAAAAATCCTTCGGCACTCTAATCATAAAAAAATTTAAATGCGTACTAAAATTAGAACATATTCATCATTATGATCGATATTGAAAGTCTTTAATTTTTCAGAAGGAAATGGGCAACATAATTATTATCATCATACACGGTGTGCCCAATATAGCTATTGCGTATTGCGATAGCAAAGAAGTGATCAATAGGAGTACAAAGAGCAAGCAAGATTTAATATTTAGATTATTGCATGAATGGCATGATTGAAATGCATCATCTGAAGGAGTTATATGTCTGGAGAAGAGCTTTGTTTGGTTAGCAAATGCAAATTTTCACTTACTTGAAAGACTTATAAAATGATATAAAGCAATGTCTAGTTCATAAATGCTTTAGTGAGTACCACTAAAAAACCTAATAAAAGACACAAAAGTAATGATTTTTTCCTTGGACATTAGCGAGTGTGCTAGTTATCCAAAAAAATCACAAAATACTAAATAAAATTGTTTGACTATTCATAGATGTTTTCACAACTATACTAGAAAACTCTTGGAATGCTAAAAAATTGTGCCTATTTTATATATGTTAAAAAGGGGATATCTTAGAAGCTTTTTTTTTTAAACGAAGAAAAGCCTATCAAATGAACTAAAAAAAGTCCTATTTATAAATTTGTGTAGGGTGATTTAGTTCAATCAGCATTCTTGATAAAAATCAGTATTGTCTCTCTAAAATATTCTATAAGAAAATAAGTGCGAAAAAATATTAAGCTCTAGAGGGGCATTGGTGATAGGTCGGAGCTCGACTCGTGACCTCGATAAGTTATACTCGCAAGCCTATAAACGAGTCAAGCTTGGCTCACTTACACCCATAATAGCTCCCTTGAGAATAGTTGCATTATGACATTTAGCTTTAATTCACAAAGATCAATCATATATGATTTCTTACCTTCACATTAAACCCTAGAATCTCCCAATAATATTTTGGTATTTTAAACAAACAATGATAAATATATGCCAATTGATGAGGTGAAGCTTAACCTAGCTCAATATTAACTTAGTCTAGACTCTAGAGCTTAAGTGAAAACCCCATATCCATTTTACTCCACTAGCTTGTCAATAGCCTAATTAAAAATTGTTGGAGTAAAACTAAGATTATTGATGCACAACAAGGAGAACAAATTAATCTAATTTAAGTGGAAAAATAATGATACAACTATTGGGATCATTTAATTCAATTAAGTTCTAATCCTTCAATTATAATTCTTGAAACTAATAAAATCTTATTCTTAACTATTGTTGCAATTGCATCCATGTTCATAATAGTTCTTAAGAGTGTGAATGATTGAGTTAAATTGACTCGTGATACCGCTCGGCATAATTCGATAAATAGGTTGTGAGTCGAATTTGATGTGCTCGTGAACAAACTCTAACTCAACTCACTAGTTCCAGAGCTAGCACGCCTAAGAAAATTATTATAAAATTCACTTAAAATATATTAAGATTAAACATTTTTTTGTCAGTTTATTATAGCATCTACTTGAATTGAAAACACTTCTTTTATTTATTAATGAATTCATTCATGAGTCAACTAAAACTCTAAACTGGAGCTCTAGCAGAAACTCAACTAATTAGTCAAATTCAAGTTCAAGTTGGAGGTGGCTCCTACTTAGCTCACTACAGGAAAATCACCCACTTCCGGCGGCTTTTTCCGGCGGAATTTGACCTATTTCCGGCGGTTTTTTAATTTTCCGGCGGTTTTCCGGCGGCTTTCGTGCCGCCGGAAAAAACGGCGTAGGAAAATAATTTCCGACGGCGTTTTCCGGCGGCAATATATTTCCGGCGGTTTGCCGGCGGTCAAAAACCGCCGGTTGAAAAAAAAAAAAAAAAATAGGAGTACAAAGAGCAAGCAAGATTTAATATTTAGATTATTGCATGAATGGCATGATTGAAATGCATCATCTGAAGGAGTTATATGTCTGGAGAAGAGCTTTGTTTGGTTAGCAAAAGCAAATTTTCACTTACTTGAAAGACTTATAAAATGATATAAAGCAATGTCTACTTCATAAATGCTTTAGTGGGTATCACTAAAAAAACTAATAAAAGGCACAAAAGTAATGAATTTTTCTTTGGACATTAGCGAGTGTGCTAGTTATCCAAAAAAAAAAAACGAATTACTTAATAAAATTGTTTGACTATTCACAAATGTTTTCACAACTATACTAGAAAACTCATGCAATGCTAAAAAATTGTGCCTATTTTATATATGTTAAAAAGGGATGTCTTAGAAGCTTTTTTTTTTTTAATGAAGAAAAGCCTAACAAATGAACTAAAAAAAAAATCCTATTTTTAAATTTGCGAAGGGTAATTTTGTTCAATCAGCATTCTTGATAAAAATCAGTATTGTCTCTCTAAAATATTCTATAAGAAAATAACTGTGAAAAAATATTAAGATCTAGAGAGGCATTGGTCATAGGTCGGAGCTCGACTCGTGACCTCGATAAGCTAGGCTCGCAAGCTCATAAACGAGTCAAGCTCGGCTCACTTACACCCCTAATAGCTCCCTTGAGAATAGTTGCGTTATGACATTTAGCTTTAATTCACAAAGATCAATCATATATGAATTTTTACCTTCGCATTAAACCCTAGAATCTCCCAAGAATCTTTTGGTATTTTAAACCCTAAACAATGATAAATATATGCCAATTGATGAGGTGAAGCTTAACCTAGCTCAATATTAACTTAGTCTAGACTTTAGAGCTTAAGTGAAAACCCCATATCCATTTTACTCCACTAGCTTGTCAATAGCCTAATTAAAAATTATTGGAGTGAAACTAAGATTATTGTTGCACAACAAGGAGATCAAATTAATCTAATTTAAGTGAAAAAATAATGATACAACTATTGGGATCATTTAATTCAATGAAGTTCTAATCCTTCAATTATAATTCTTGAAACTAAT